ACAACCAACTCCAGATCTAGGCTAGGTCGGTGTTAACTTTTCTGCTGTGTGTCGGATTTTTTATAATTTTACTGCATTATGTGGATAAAATTGCCTTGCTATTTCTGTTTACTTTTTACTACACTCTATAGATGATTGATATGTTTGGTGACTAGATTACCCTTAGGATAGTAACGATCTGGATATTTACATAATTTTTTGCAGGTGGCCACGCTCATGCAGGGCAATAAAAAGGGGGCTAAATAAAATTAATTATAAATGTTGCTTGCACATGCGCTTTAACTGATAATCCCCCAAATAATAAAAAGAGCGTGGCCAGTGTGTTTATTTATTTTTTTACACATATATAATTACTTGAGAATAAATGCTTTTGATTTATTAACTGCTTAGGATAACCCTACAGGAGAGTCTAGAATTTTTTCATCTTCATATAAATGTAATTTGTGTAAATATAAAGTATTGTGAAAGTGGAGTTTTGAGTTGGGAAATATATGTCCAAAGTATGGACTCCAGAGAGAAAAGGACACCCCTTAGGGGAGTAGCCCTTTTTTATTTGGAAATCTAAATTTGGATCACTACCTCCCTATCCAAAGAGGAAAGAGTGGCCTTCCCCTCAAAGGAAGTGTCCTCTTATTCATTTGGATAGCCTACTACGAAGAATCCAAGGCGCTTGAAGGAAAGGAGCCCGAAGGAGAACAAGATTGAAGAATTGAAGACTAAAAGTATCTCACTCAAAACTACTTGTGTCTCGACTAGGTTTAGAATTCGGGTTATTGTAAGTGGTGCCCGGCCACTTTACTTTCTATAATGCCCTGGTTTGTAATAAGAAAGGCAACTTTTCCTATGACCATTTATTAATTGATTCATGCATACTTAATGTGATGAAATGATTGCGTATAGAGCTACCTACTTTTTCTAGTTTTTTGGCGTTTGTGTGCCGCTTTTATTTTTATCTTGATATGTGAGACTCGTGAGGGTGTGAAAGTTTTATACTCATGATTAAATAGTTTAAAATTTAGTGAGTCTAAATAATATAGAAAGATAATGAATATAGAGAATTAGCCTGGGATCGCCCCTAGTTCGCATGCATATTTTTGCACTTCTTCTTTTCTTACTTTAGATCCTTCCCCACCTGCAGGTAGAGTTTGGATAGTCTGACCGAAAAGGACGAGGTGCCGGACCTGGGGAAGCCCATTCTTCTAAAAACTTATTTTTTTAAGCCTGTTTTTAAAATTTCAAGCATATTTGATTTGAAGTTATCAACTAGCATGTATTTCATTATAGACAAATTAAAAGTGTCAAAATTTTAATTGTATTAGTCTTTAGCATTTTGCACCCAATATAAGTCAAAGGGGTCAATTAGAAAAATCTCTAGATGTCGGCCCCAACTCTTCAAAACTTTAAATAAAATATCCCTACCACTCTGTCATAAAAGATCGGGATTTATATATTTTAAATTGATTAGGTGGTTAGCTGGCTTCCCAATCCAGGCCAGGCCTAAAAGTCCAGACCTTGCACTGCACTAGTTAGGTTCGGACAACTATGGTCTAGTGTTTAAATTAGATTTAGGATTCGGGGAAGATCTTTGATTATAAGACCCCAAACTTTGGAAATCTAATCCTAAATTTCTAATAAAATGCTCAACTCTAATTAAATCTTCTTTCAATCCTAAAATATGAAGACCAACACTTAGATTAAGTTGGGACACTTCCGAATGGCTCCTGAATCTCAAAGTGTCTCCTACTTTTCTTCCTTTGATTTTGATAATAACTGCTCAATTTTGACTCATTCCCTTTAGAGTTTCAAAAATTTACCTCTTTTTGACATCACTCCTAGAAAATCTAACGAAATTTTGTTACTATTTTAATCGAGAGTTTTCTTAGGAGACCCTGTCTCCCTACGATATAATTAACTACGAGGGCTTGTGCTCGTAGGATATTTAGAACCACACACTCATCTGATTTTAAAAATTGATTTTTAAAAATTTATATTGGATTCCTTTGAGAAAGATTAAAGATGATTGTTATCGTCATATTCGAATAATTATCATCGAACGATACTTTCTCCCTTTGGGGAGATACATCTTTCTTCGATAAGGCTTTGTATGTGAACTTAACGATCAAACTTCTTGACTATTATAGCTGGATATTTAGTTGAACCTCACTTTGATCCCTCTGGGCCATATAAAGTTCTCATTAGCATCCGGTTACAATATTCAAGATGAAATTCATAATTCTAAATTTGAATACCATTCTGAAATTTTATTTTCACCTTTCGAGGTGATATATCTTTTCTAACGGGACGATTCGATTTTAGAATTAAAATTTAACTTCAAATTCAAAATTCTTAAAGAAAACCAAGCTTTTGAATATTCATCTTTCAAAATTCCACCAAAACATGTAGTGACCTAGGTTAAGAGTTTTTAAGAGATCTAACTGTTGGATCTTGAGCTTGTAGATTGCCATCGTACAATTCTCTAGTTGAACTCAGGCCTTGATTCATCTTGGATTGATAGAAAAAAAGCCTTAGAAAGGAAGTAGCCTCGGCTCACCGGAGATCTCGTAGTCGGTGAGGTCTTGGCAGTGGATTTGAGTTGGAAAAGGACGAAAGAAGGTTGGGAGAGCTCTCATGTAAGATCTTGCAGCTTTGGGAGAGTTTAGAGAGAGAGATTACAAAATTCCCTTCTCATGAACCCTAACTTCACTATTTAAAGGCTCAATGCCTTAGATCCACGATTAGGATTCATCTTAAGGCTAATTAGGAGGGAAAGGGAGGGGATTAGCCATGGTTTGAATAAGGGAGCCAAAAAGGAAAGGTTTACATGTTTTAATTAGGTTGAATTTGACCAAAATAGGCTACATTTGATCAACCAAGGCTTGGGTTGACCAAGACATGAGTTGACCTGGTATATTTGGTCAAATGAGTCTAAGGGATGGGGGGTTTGAGCCTAAGATGGGTTTGAATTGATTTGGATTTGATTTAGGCTCAAATGGGCTAAATGGGTCAACTTGGGTTGACTCCGGGCAAGGGTATGGGCCCAATGGGTTGGGTCTGACCCACTGGGTTCAGGGGAATAGAGAATTGGGCTTGAGAAGCATTAAATTATATTTGAAATTAAAAGGAAGGGAATTGGGTAAATTTGTGTCAACTCAAGTTGACCTGGTCAACTAAGTTGACCCAGGGCCTGGGTCAGGACTCAGCAAACTTGGTTTGACCCATTGAGTACAAAGGAGATGGTCTTGGAGCCTGGCTTGGTCTATTTGACCAGGTTAACCCCCTTGACCAAAGCTTAGGGAAAGCAAGGTTAACAACCGCGTATATTCTAGCCCGCAATAGATAGATTAATGGAATCTCTGATTGGTTAATGAAGAGATTAAAATAGAAAATGTTTTCAAAATTTGATCTTAGGGTGTTACAAATGGTGATAGCAATGGCCGTCTGAATTGTTGGTAGAGCTACGGTGGTTGGTGATGGTAGGGGTCAGTCGGTGATAGTGGTGGTGGCCAGAGGTGGGTGGTGGCTGATGGTGTACGATGGTGGTGGCGACCGAAGGCCGACACCTGGCGACGAGGGCCGACAGTTGGCGACAGGCAAATGCAACGATGATGAATTTATAGTACATTGAAAACTCACCCAAATTTGAGGAATTCCATCTCTTGATACCCTACGTGTTATATCTAAAGCTAAGCTCCCTTGGAGATTATATAATGCTTCATCTTTTTTATTTGATTGGTGTTCAAAACTCTATGGGTCCATTTGGATTAAGTCTTCGAGTACCTTCAGAAACAATTACAGATGCTTGCAAGCTTAGAAGGTTTATGGATTTCAAAGTTGCTAATACTTGCCATTTGTTTTTTTGTTTTTTTGTTTTTTTTTTTTTTTTTTTTTTTTTTTTTTTTTTTTTTTTTTTTTTTTTTTCAATGGTTTAAAAGTGAGGCCTAAAACTACTAATTGTCTTTTGAAAAGAGGTATTGTGGCTAATAAAAAGTATGTTCTTTGCAATCAATTCAATGAAAATCATAAAAATATAATTTTTTACGGTGAGAAATTCTTAGTTTTGATTAAAAGTTGCATATTCATTGTTAGTTTTGATTAAAAGTCTATATTCATTGGTGGAGAGATTATTCTGTGCGGTGTTCGAAGGCGTCCGGAGGCCATTCCGAATGCGCCGCGTCATCCAATACGTTATGCATTGGGTAATACGGCCCGTTCAGAGTGGCCTCAAGATGCGTCCGGACACCGAATGCAATAATTTTTCCCATTGATGGTTGGTTTCTCCCAGGAAGCTCTTTATCCCAGTGCTACATGCAAAATCACCAGGAAATGTTATCTTCTAGTTCATGTCACATGCTGGAAATGATTCACAAAATCCCTTCAAAAGAAAATTATATTATAATTTTAAAAGATAATTATTCAAAAATAAGAATAATAATTTTAAATTAGTTAAACAACTTAAATAAGATAAAATAATTCATTGTGAAGTTAAAAATTTTACATATGCTTGTTAAAGCATCTCATAAGTTTTCTACGAGTTGCAACATGTGCAAATGTGAAAGTGATATACCTACCAGTCTAATAATGCATTATTTAAAAAAAAAAACTTATCTCTATTTAATTTTTATGAAAAAAAACATTCGATTTTGACTGCGTACCTTCTTTGTTGTTCCATAGTTTTAAGAACAATATCTTTTAATCTATTAATTATATATTAAAATATTTATTCACATTTTCCGTAATTATTGTATCTTCCCATTTTAGTGGAAAGACTTTGGTCCACATCTTCTAACCAAAGCTCTTTTTAAAAGATTTTATTATGACTTCATCTCCTTCATTTATATGCTATACAAATAATGTTTTAATAAAAAAAAATATCGCTCTTCTTCATTGACTACATTCAATTTGCACGTTTGCTTAATTTATCTGCATGATACTATCTAATCCAAATTCTAAAAAAAATTTGCATGAAATGAATCAAATCTTTCTACTGCAACTTCTAATTTTTTCTGTAATTTTGTATTTCTTCCTACAGATTTATTTATATATAGAATATCATATAGTTAGAAGAAGAAGCAGAGAGAAATTAAAAAAGTACTGTAAGATGGGATTCTTCTCACTATTACTGGTGGCAAGCCTGCCAGTCATACAGCTCTTGTTAATAGGTTCTCTCGGTGCCTTTCTCGCTTCTGGTTACAGTAATCTCCTCTCAGGTGGAATTCGTCGCGATTTAAACAAGGTAAGATAATTATAAATAAAAGAAAATTATGAAAAAAAAATATATTTCTTTAATTTATTATTATTTGATCAATTTGTCTCTTCTGCACAATTGCAACAGATTGTTTTTACTGTATTTTCTCCCTCACTTGTCTTCTCCTCCCTCGCCAAAACTGTAACTCTTCAGGACCTCATCTCCTGGTAATCAGCTAATTTATTTTTTCATTCTCTCTCTAATCTGTTTGATATCATTTAAAAATAATAATAATAGTACTTAGTATTATTTTCTTCTATTATTATTATGAGGTGGTTTATGCCCATCAACATTGCCATAACGTTCTTGATCGGCGGAACTCTTGGTTGGGTTGCTGTGAAGATACTGAGACCACCACGCCATTTCGAAGGCCTTATTATAGCCAATTGCTCTGCTGGTACGTAGACTATTCAATTAGTATTTTGCTTCGTTTGATATTGTTTTTTTTTTTTCTGGTTCTTAAAACAATTTTTTAGTAATAAAACTTTAATTTTTATATTAAAAAATTATTTTAAGAAACATCAAAAATCTGACCCAAACAAAACCTGCATTTATTACGTGTTAACATGTAAAATTTCTGTGCAGGAAACTTAGGAAATCTTATGCTGATGATTATTCCAGCGGTATGTAGAGAGGCTACAAGTCCCTTTGGAGATGAGAGCAGTTGTGGTGTGCGTGGGACATCTTATGTTTCTTTGTCTATGGCGGTAAGAGATTTATCATATGGTACTGTTCTTCGATCTGCATATTTATTCGGTTTTTCTAAGTTGTTCTACTTTAAGGGCAGGTTCAATAATGATAGGGTTGGTAAATGTATTGGGATTTTTTTTTTTTTTCTATGTATTGGGTACTAATTAGGTTGAGTTGGTAAGTTATTGTAGGTCTCAGTAGTTATAGGTCTATATTAGGTGTTCCATTGTTTTAGTAGGTAGTTAATGTGTCATATAAGTTCTTGTAATATTACAAATAACATCAATGAAATGAACTAAAGCCTCTTTGTATGTTAATGTTAGTATGAAAACTTCGTTGTAATTGATTTTTACAGCTTGGGGGTTTCTTCATATGGACACACACCTATAGTCTTATAAAAAAAGATGGTGCGAGATACGAGAAGCTAAAGAGAGAAGGTTCACCGGCGATCGCCGATGGAAGCTCGAGTGCTAGCGAAAACCACTCAGAAAATGGAGAAGCCAACAGTGATGAAGAGGCTCAGCTGAGTCTATCAACTAAATTAGTTGATGAATACACAGAGAAAACAGTCGTAAGAGAAATAAATTCTATAGTTTGTTTATAGATAAAATTGAATTGATTATATTCAGTATCCTGAATAAAAAAATTTGATGCAGTTGGAACCACTACTATCTAATGGAAAGCTGAGAAGCAGTGTGCCTTTCTGGAAGAAAATCATGGAAACAGTTCATCAACTTATAAAGGAACTAATAGAGCCACCAACTGTTGCTGCGGTAATCAATATTTTATGATTCTGAGATTAATTATAGTTCAATATTGCATTGCTAAACAGAGATTTTATCAAATTTACATGGTTAATTACATATGATGCTTCACAGATGATTGGGTTTGTTGTTGGTGCAATACCTTGGACAAAATCTCTCATAATTGGAGACAGTGCTCCTCTTGGAGTAATCCAGGACTCACTTAAGATACTAGGGTCAGCTTTCATTTTATTTTCTTTTGTCATTTACTTACTTTGGTTCCTTTTGGCATTATAAATCATATTGTTTGCTTATCATTTTCTGCAGAGATGGCACACTGCCTTGTACAACTCTTATTCTCGGAGGAAATCTTACCGGTGGTATCTCTCTCTCTCTCTCTCTCTCTCTCTCTCTCTCTCTCTCTCTCTCTCTCTCTCCTTGTGATACTTCTACACTTATTACATTTTGTATGATTTTTATTGTAGGTTTAAGGAAATCAGCAGTGAAGCCTTCCATAATTTTAGCAATAGCTGTAGTGAGATATATAGCTCTTCCCATATCAGGAATTGCTGTAGTTAAGGCTGCAGCTGCTATTGGCTTTCTGCCTGAAGATCCATTGTTCCAATATGTGCTGCTCACACAGTTCACTCTTCCTCCTGCAGTGGCTATTGGTAAAAATCTTTCTTTTTTTCACAAGGAAACATCAGATATTATGATATGTAAATAATCATTAATTGTTCTTTTAATGCAGGTGTGATGGCTCAGCTATTCGGAGTTGGACAGGAAGAAAGCTCTGTCATCTTCTTGTGGTTATACTTAGTTGCTGCCTTAACACTCACTGTGTGGTCGACGATTTTTATGTACATCATATCATAGTACTATAACTATGGAAATATTCATTTAATGCTTTTCAATTTGAAAGCAGAGAAAATGAACGCCCTTTTAATTAGGATGAATAATGAAGAGGTTCAGATTATTTTTCCAGAAAGCTAATTAGTACATAGCAATCAGGAATCATCAACAAAAAAAATCTAATGAAGGCAATCAGTGCAAGCCAGAAGGAATTGATGTTACATTTTATCAAGTCAATAATTCTGGTGTTAGCTGTGAAGGGTTTAATTTTTAGTTAATCAACGTTACAATATTTAAAAACTAGTATTTTTTTTAGTCTGCCAAATTGTACTATTTGTAAGCTTGTGGAGCCCCTCTTTTAAATTAAACTAAATTTAAAATATAATTTAAAATAATATAATAATAAAGAGTTAAATTAGCTTAGGTCAATTAAGCAAATACTCGACTCGACTCTACTCGTTCACACCCCTTGTCTAAATAAGAACTTTCAAGATTAAATTTTTTGGAATTCAAAATAAGGTGATGGAAAACTAGCACATTTTCATGCACCAAATCCGAAATGGTCGTACTTCAAATCTATGAGTGAGACACAATTGGAGTCCTTGTTGTGAGTCTACCACAGAAGTTCTTGGTTTCAACCCCCCAAGTTGGCAACAGTAGAAAGCCAAGCCCTAACCACTTTTGAAAGTAAGCTCACTCATCTAAAGGTAAAATTATATTGTGTATACGAACGTCATCTGGAGTCAAATCAAAATAATATTCTGAGACACTTTTTCCAAATAAAAAATGATCTAATTAATCAAATTAAAGCTCGATTATTTCCAACCTAATAAAACATAGCCTTAAATATAAAATACACGGCATGTGGGCATTAGCTGCATCCAGCCTACCAGTTATATCACTGGCCCCTTAATCAATATTGATATCAGTGGCCCCCTAATCAATATTGAACTATCAAAGCCCGCTTATTTCATTAAGTGCTTGTCGCCTTAACGCCAATATGGAAACCTATCAGCAGGGCATGGAAAAATATACAATAATTGCCCCCAACTTGAAGAGCGCTTTGTTATGCTAATTCCAACCTTCAATTATTGCTCCCATCCAATAATGCCAACCTTTTTATTTAACCTAGGGAAACACTTGAAGATCTAATTTAATAGACAACATTTTTTAAATTTTTTTAAGACAATTAGATAAAGGAAATTCACATGCACATCACATATATAAGACACGAATTCAAAATCAGTTAATTAGTAGTCAAAGCTCCCAACTAAATAACCAACGAGAATTGCATGTAGGGGTGTCAACTAGAGTCAACGGGGCGAATCGAACCCGACTTGACCCAACCGTAAATGGGTTGACACTAACTCGACCCGGTTTTGTAAACGGGTCAAGTTGGTCAACAGGCGAGGCCAACCAACATGGGATGAGGCGGCATGGCAGCCTGACGTGATGGAGGATATACGACGGTGCCAAAGCGGCCTACCAAAAGTTGGGTCTCGCTTTCACGAGACGACTGGATTGGCGGACAGCCATAGCGGCTTACACGGTGACCTGGCGCGACGGCAACCGGCGATGCGACTAGATGCGAAGGAACTGATGGGGACAGCGACTCAACAACGTGACGCAACTCGAGAGTCGGGCACGACTAGAGAGTAGAGATGGCAAAGTTCCTGTGTCAAAACGGGTTGTTTTCGGCTTACCAGGTCAACCCGGACCGACTTGAATTTATGATTGTGTCGGATTATCGAACCCGACCCCCGTGGGAAACCCGGAATTTTTCTGGTCGAGTCTGATTCGAATTTTTGTTCGTGTCAAAATTTGACACCCTAATTGCATAGGCATGATATCTTAGTTATCTCAAAGGCTATATAATAAATTCTTGTATTGAAGGTGTTAGATCCCTGCATGGCAGACTAGCTGTACCATAGGCAGGTATCACCATCACCAGAAGTAGAGGGAAAAAAAACAATGCTTTGTGATCTAGACAAACTATTTGACCTCACATCGTTGAAATTCTTATAATACTCTTCGCTATATGATCTTCTGGGATTTTGCAGATCCTCAATCTTACTTATCTTACTAGTTTTTACATAGCCTCGAATAGAATATGCATGAAGGATCTATTTGGGACAAATTTTTTACTGTTTTGTTTTTCAAATGTAATCACAATTCTATTTTACTATTATTTTTTCAATCTTTTTATGAAATTTATTTGCTACGAAACTGCATTTTGTAAGAATTTTCAAAAAATTTGCTCTCCTCACAATAATTTGACAATCACCTTTATAAAAGATTGTAGAAATTCCAAAAAAAAAAAATCATTGTTTTTTCTTTTGGTTATTTGCTTCACACAACGGTGATAAAATTAAACCTTTTTATGATTAAATGAATATTTCCAAGCATGGTCCTCACTTCCCCCCCGAAAAAAAATGCCATAATTTAATTGGTAATAAAAAATCGCCATCATTATTTAGGATCCTAAGCATCACCCTAAACATCCAAGATAACTTTTTTATCTCATTAGTGGAGTAAAAACCCCATGATATTTTACTTAAATTAAATTAACCTATTACCTTTCTACCACACCAAATTGAAAGAATAATTGGATCTTTTTTTTGCTTTCGTTCGATTATTATTTTGCATTATTATGTGATATACTCATTAAATTGAAAATATACAATTTTTATTTCCTTCTTGAAAAGTTCCTTGTATTTTCTTATTTATAGGAATCCATTCCTTTTAGAATAAACAAAAAAAAAAATCTCACAATAATGTCAACATGGTACCCAAGCCACATTAGCTCTATTCATCCAAAAAATTCTCATCACATGACAATTTCGAGACCTAATTCCCTACCTAATCACTCGAAACTCCTACTTACTCTTGCATTCACCCTTCTACTCTAGCTCTACTTGCCCCCACGGCATTCACCCCTCGCTGTTCCCATGCTTGCGTGCTCTGCTAACCCCTCCCATTCTCGCCGCTTATATGGTCACTCACACAATGCGCCCATCAACGAAACATTGCTTCACTACCCACTCTCACGATAAAATATGCCCACCACCACTCCGCACGCACGAACTCTTGGATTCTCCTTCCCTCCTTCCCACCTTCCATTGTTCTCTCCTCAGGCAAGTTCTTCACCCACTCATTTGTCATATGCTCATCCTTTCTATTAGTCAACACTCACTATCAATCGAGCAATTCTCTCACCCCCCTTGATCTTACACTCACTGCTCCTCGCATATATGCACAATCTACATTGCAAGCATGATTAGCCTCTCATCTCATCCAATAACCTTTTCCTTGGTCTAATCATGGACCTTTGCATTATGATTCATTAATTATTCACTAGATTTCTTGTTGTTGACCCTTTCCCGTAAGCCAGCAGAACAAAGAAAAAAAAAGAAAGAAAAATACCTCACCTGCCCTCTGTCCGGCGCCGAATTCAGCACGTCGCTGACATGTCCGTGTCTTTTCTTCCCACGATCATCCCCACGACTCATTAAAGTCGTTAAAGGCACAAAGCAACGGGGCTGAAGCTCTCTCTCTCACTCAAGCTCTTGTCTCTCATTCCCGCTCTTGTCTCTCGCTCTCGCTCTCTCCTCCGACAAAATCCCTTCGAGCCGGATCGGAAGTTACAACATCTTGATCTGAAGCAATATCGGAGCTCGCTCGCGTGGAGATAGCTTTCTCCCTGTCGTGTGCTGCTTCGACTTCGCTCTTCGACGATTCTCCATTCCAGTTGGATCGGGAGTTAAAACGGGAGCTCACTTGCTGTAAGATCGGAAGTCACGACATTTTGTTCAGAACCAACAACAGGAGCTCGCCGACTGGGAAGTTAACTTTCTCCCCTTTCACGCGCCCTCTCCGACACCTTCGTGGCTGGACGACTTCGTTCCGACAACGACTTATCCTTTTAGTCGGATCGGAAGTTACGACAGCTTGATCGGAAGCAAGACAGGGGCTCGCCGGCTGTCAAGTGCCTCCCCGCCTCCTTCGTGCTTTCAAACTTCGCTCCTTCGACTGACTTCTCCTCTCGTTGGATCGGAAGTTAACATTTTGATCGGAAGCAACAACCAGGAGTTCGCGGGCTGTGAAGGTAACCTTCTCCCATTCACGCTTCTTTGGCCAAATCCGGTAGACAGAGAAGGGGGGGGGGTTAAACTTCGCTCCTTCGACTGACTTCTCCTCTCGTTGGATCGGAAGTTAACATTTTGATCGGAAGCAATAACCAGGAGTTCGCGGGCTGTGAAGGTAACCTTCTCCCATTCACGCTTCTTTGGCCAAATCCGGTAGACAGAGAAGGGGGGAGGGTTAATCCATCTTAATTAATATTAATTATATTCAAATTATTATTTAATTATAATTATAATTAGTTAATTAATTATGATTAATTTATAATTAATAGTTAATTATTAGTTATAATTATT